TAATATTTTCCAAACAATCTAGACTGGGTTATTTATAAGAAGTGATACAGTTTATTTGCTGCATCTAGAAAACATAATTGGATTTGACTACAGACCAGCAATGGCTTCTGATGGAAGACCTATATGGTTTACTTTGAAAATTCATTTTTACCTTGCCTTTTTTTTGACATGATTAATATAAAACCCACATGTGCAAGCACAACTGATTTAGAAGAAGGTACCTAAACCTGTAACAAATCAAGTTGTGCTATTGTTTTTATGAGTCTTGGAAGAAGGGTCAGAGATAAAATCATGGTTAAATAAAGAACACTATAGCCAAGTCGGAATTAAGTATATAGATCAGAAGAACATGTAGGAGACAGTGTGAGAATTGAATTGAAGTTTCTTCTCCTTCAAAAATCAGAGAATCACTCATCAAAAACCCAAAATCTTCATATTGTAAGTTTAATGAAAAAAAAAAGTTTATGATAATGTGTTTTTAGCCTTCACTGAGCAAACCACCTCAAACTCAGGAGGACAAAAATACCTTAGTTACCTCATCAAAAAAAGTTGGTGTTTTGCTTAGAACATAACTAGGTGACCTCCACTTTTGTTTAGTGCTTCTTATACAGCTGTTAACTACAAGTTTGGTTTAAGAAAAAAGAGGAAGACAAACTATACTATTGCAGACATACAGAGAAAGTTTTATAGAAAGAACTACAGCCTTCTTTCGTAGCAGTGTCTCAGAAAAATGTCTATTGAGCTAGGTCTTCTTAATCTGTTTTCTCACAAGTACTCCGGCAGGCATAAAGCTGGGTTGCGATATATGCTTGTACTCCTACCTACAATACAATGTTTTCAAGTTCTGCCACAAGAATATCTTATAGAGATAATATTGCAATTAAAAGAAATATGAGATGAAAGCAAAGGGCAGAAAACTTTGTATTAAGATTTAAATAACAGAAGTCATAATGAAACAGATACTCTTGCTCTGTCATTGCAGATGGAGTGAAGAAGACTCCACGATGCTACAGACACTGTCCATTCATTGGGACAGGGCGAATATAAGGGATGGAGCAAAGTTTAACCTTGTGCAGAAAGGAACCTGTGAGTCCACCAGAAACTCAGGTGCTTATTCCTGCTTGTTTCCCAGGTCTTTGGCAATATGTTTACTTCATCATGCCTTTCTCTTCCCTCCCTACAGAGCTCCACGATACGTGTTAAGCTTGGTGGCAGGAGACACCCCTGCACGAAGAGGCATTAGTCAGCTGCAATTCTAACAGCTGTCTAACAAAGAAAAATTTGAATCTTTTTTCTTCTTTGCTTGAATAATAAAGGAGAAAAGAGCTAACACAGCTAAAAGAAAAAGCAAAAGTAATGATGGACGGAAGAATAAGAAGTGTAAATTAAATCAGCCAACTGCCTAATTCTAAAGTGAGAGACTCTTAATAGGGAAATATATAGCTGCAATATCTCTGAAACAAAAAGTACTACTTCTAACTTCATATTTTTCTTATCTTGGAAATACACTGATATCTGGATTACTTGCCTCTTTCTACTACACCTTTTTCCCTGGAATAGGCTGCCTATATAAAAATTTACAAACAAAAATGCTGCAAAAATAATCCATGAGAAGCTTTAAACTTAATCTTTCAAGTTTTTATTAATCAAGAGTTTCCTATAATGCTTTATAATAGATTGCTTTTTAAAGCTGTGCATTACAAAAGCATTCCTCTGAATTGAGAAAAATATCATATAAAATTAATCCCACGTTGTCATAGTGGTTTATAAATGTCCATGAAATGGGTATGCTTTAGAAAATTAGTTATCAAAATGTACCATTTATTGGGCTCATTCACAGTAAAGTGTTTCCAAAGAGACACTATTCACAGCTAAGCAAGAAAACAGAATCAGGTTTTCATTGTTAAATATGCTTAAATATCTACATGCGAGAGTTTTATCTCCAAATAAGCACAACTTATTTTTGCTTTTTGGTATTCATTTTTTTGTCTTCCCTGTTCTTCCATAACTCCTTTCCTATTTCACCCCAAGGCACCGTGACTATCAAAACACAGGCTTGAGAAAAATACACACACAAAAAAACTTCTGGTTGATGTTGACACTATGATGCCTTGCCAGGTTTCATCAGTCCCATCCTATCATCTAGAGTAATGCAGCCTGATCAATGAAACTCACAGGGACTCATCACCTTTCATGTGTTTGCTGAAGAATTTAAAGGTATCACACAATTTTTGGACAGAATTCAAAGAGCTAATATATGAAAGAAAGGTTTTTGTTATTTTATTCATCCATGAAGATAGAATTATTATTTTTTGACCTTTGGGAGATTTATTTTAATAACTACTTTACTTGCATGGTTCATACAACTTTTAGTCTCCATTGGGAAATCAATGTTAAATAATTTCAGCTTTAGAACGAAGTCAACAGTAAAGCATAGATGTCTCATTATAGCTTTATTATTTGGCTGCAGATTAGTACTGATGCTGAAAAAACCTTAGGAATACAGAAATTGGGATATGAGCTTATTCTCTCTAAGCCTTTCATAAATGCTCATTCATTTAGAAATCTAATACTCTTCCCTTCATTCTGTGGGATATTTTCTCCTCTAACAAGACAACTGAGGGGTTAACCTAAACCGGGCCCTAGGGATTTAACGCATAAAATTTTGAAATTAGCCTTTTATAGCCTCATTATAAGATAGTTTACTAATGAATCTGATTTAAAGAGAAGATGATTATCCAGAGATTAGAAAGAATGCTTCCAACTTCATTAAATTACCTTTGAATAAACACAAAAGACTGCAATAATTTTCTAGTGATTTTAAAAAATAAATTACTTTTTCAAATTACACTTACAAAACACCTTAACATATTTTTCTAAAAAAACAGCCCAAAATACTGTACATTAGACTATTCAATAGCACATAATTTTAATTTGGCTTCATGACCTAAATAACAATATTCAGAACCTGATAAATCCTCCAATATGCATATTTTCTTTGTGATATTTAAATGCTGCCTTAATCTTTATTTTTTTCATATGTGTGCAAGTAATTGAAGTCGATGTTTTTATAGTTTTAACCCTAAAATAATTTTTCTAGTTCAATGAAAGAATATCATTGAGAATTTAATCCTAACTCTGATTTATTTTTCATATTAGCCACAGAAGGCAAATCAATTACTGTACCAACAACTCTAGTAGTTAGATTCTCTGGTGGGACTCAACAAGTATACAGTAATCCTTGAAACTCAGATGAATATATCAAAGCAGCACTAACATAGGTTTTCCTGGACTTTACTTTCTTTTTTTAATAATTTCTCTTAAACTGGGGGGGAGGGGAGGTGGCTGGCTCAATATAAATACATATACAGTCAAGTGTATTTCTAGAATTAAGAAGAAAATCCTGTTCTTTTCAGAAGAAATAATCGTATATCCTATGCTAAGCATCACTGAATACATTTTCATTAGCTGTTCTGCTTTCTGTACCACTGATGTCAACAGGTGCTTTGGAACTCGAGCCACTTCGAAGTCAAAGACAGTTGAGCAGTGCTTTGCCTTTGAAGTCTGATAAAAAAAATTACCATGACATCTACAACTTGTGATTACATTTCTTAGTGGCAGGAAATCTAATCATCAGTGCCATTTGTAAGATGTTTTATTTTTTAATTTACGAGAGATGCTTTGAAATTTCCTGTGTTAACTGTATGTTTAGGATTAACTTTCTCACTGTTTAATATTTTGATCAAGTCTGATCCCTAGCAGGATTTAGTATGATTCTCTTTTTTCTTCTTGTGTTAACCCAGTTATTGTCTTAAGTTTTAGTATGGTAAAATTCTAGTACAACTACTATCTATGAAGAGTGCTGCTGACTCAGCAAAACACTAATATCTACCTCTCCTAACCCCAAATCTGGTAAACCAATAAACCTTAGTGTATTATACTGCATACTTCAACATCACTAAACTGCCTTCTTGTAAAAGCCTTTTCTTTTTGGTTTAGCAGCATCAAAATAGAGTGTTTGGCTAAAGAAGAGAGACAGAGGTCAGATAGGAATGAAACAGGAAGAGAAGTTATCCCACACATACTGGCAAGCAACACTCTCGAGGCTTATGAAGTAAGTTCAGTCATAGCTTGACCCTGGACTTCCTAGATCTATTTTAATGCTATATCCAGCATTACATGGAAAAAGAACAACCTACTATTTTTTTTTTCTTTTTTTAAAAGGCTTAAAGTTGCTATTAATGCGTTTCTTAGTTTTACAGACCAGAAAGGGATATTTTATCATGGTCATCATAAACCAGAACCATCTTATTATGAGTGGATAGCTCAAGTCCAGTCCAAGTTCAGATAAGATTTTATTAAACAGTCAAATTTAAAGCATTGACCTAAACCAAACCTAGGTAACTGATTATTTTTTTTTATACGCTAACACATTTCTAATTTCCAATATCAAATATATATATATTGATGACAGTAAAATACCAGTGAGAATTATTTTTCTTATTCTATTGAACCAATGTTCAATTCAAGACGAGGTTTCTACTTAACTACACTTCAGATGAGCCTCTTAAAGTAAAGCAGAGTACGTACCCTTAATCCACATGGAAGTTAGACTTGATACTTTGTATACAGAAAAAACAAAGGTCATAGTATGTAACAATAGTTTTTATCATTGCAAAGGGGCATTATCTAAACAAATGGCAAAAAATACAACAAAACACTGTTTTACTAATGGCAACATATGAAAGCCAAATCACTGTGATAAGGGTGATTTTTACCATAATTGGTCCTGCAAAGTTTAAATTAAAATCTGCCTTTAGAGGAATTCATTTTTAGGTTATGCAATATTTTTTTGGTTGGTCAAGCAACCACCGATGATAAGAAGACTTCTTCCTTTCCAGCAGATGAAAATTTTGTAGAAGACCGATAGACTAATTACTACTAAGGGTATTAAAAAAAAAAAAAGTTTCATCCATTTAGAAAACTTATCATTACCATACCTGTTACTTTCAGTCTGTCGGCTCCAATGACAATCTCATCTTCATCTGCAGAAAATAATACTTTTCCACCTTCACTTGCCCTCACTTCAAATCTCTTACATTGGGCCTCCACAGCATCAGCTCCTGAAATCAAGGAAAAGAATGTTTCATCTAATAGATTTTGTAAGAATAAAAGTAATCATCAGCTTATGTGGAATACTCAAAATACATAGAGTACATGAGGCTTTTACAAAATAGTCGACTTTCTGTAAGTCTAGTTGGTAATTTGTATTGTAAAATACTGTTAAATAGATTTACAGAGCAACTATTTCATACTGCACATCAGGATAGAGTTTAAAATAACTATGAAAAATAGCGATTTCGGTGTTATGTGTGGAAGTCAATACAAGCATTTAGAATGTACTTAAACTCTGAGATCTTGAAATGCAAATTCAGACAGAACCTTCTGCGGTTTGCTCAGCTTAAATTGCAGTTTCTTACCAATGGAAAAAAAAAAAAAAAGATAACATATGAGCTTATTCCATAAAGACCAAGACATCAACACAGAAAAAAAGGGTATTTTTCATCCAGTTCTGCCACAAACCTGAGCAATGGAGCAACAAAATTAAAAAAGCCAACAAACCAAACAAAAAAGATGAAATATCACGATTTATTTCATATTATATGAAACAAAACTCCCAATGTCTCAAAGCTTCCAAACCCTAAAATAATTCTGAAATCAAACAGATCTATGGAATTGCAACTAACAGTACAATTTAAAAAGTTTGCAGATACCAAGACTCTGTTAAATTTACTAAGCTTTTCAATTTACAGGTCTTCTCCTTATTCTTCAATGTTTTGTCTGCTAAGTTTTTTCTGAAAATTTTTACTTTATTTTATTAATTAGCGAAAGCAAAACTTTAGTTCTGAAAATGGTGTTGAAAAGCAATGAACTGCATATAACGCATTTGTAAGACAAATGACAAGATTTCAGAGTATAATTATTTGACATTTTTCTCATTGATCCCTAATTAGATTTCTAATGTACATCTGGAATGATCCATCAATGTATATGGGTAAAAACTATGGGAAAGGCATCGTGGACAAAGAAATACATCCGTGTCATTTCAGTTTATCAGTCTGGCATATAGGTTTGTAAAGCACACCAACTTTCAGTTTAATATGCAAATTCATCTAATCAAAATATATAATAAATATAAAAGCTGTGATAACTAATTTTGGATGAGGAATTGCCATAGCAGCCCTTAATTTGCAGAATCAGCTGTAAAATCAAAACAACAATTCCTCTCACTTTCAGATGAACTTACATTTGTAAGGTGAAATATTTCTGGTTATTTTTAGTTCATGAAAGTAAAAAGAAAATGAAAAGGAATTATAAAGAAAAAACTTGTGGTGTCCCATTTTCTTGAAGTTTGACATGTTTATTCTGTTGTAAAAGTGTAAAATAATATTTTCTCCTTCTCTCTGTACAATTAAACTTTGTTTTAAATGTGATAAACAGGTTGTTCTCTTTATTTTGAAAAAATGCTAAATTTTTGTACAGACAGACAGGAAGAAATTTCACATAACCTAATGCTAGCCATGGGTTAAGCGCTCTATCTCACAAACATTTCGGGATGCTCACTAATAAAAGGTGTAACAATGTCTGATTGTCTATCAGGATAACTGTAATCACAATATACACTCACACACAGCTGTCTCATTAAACTCATCTGTTACTCTCAAATACTTTCCAAAGGTGAGTGGTGGTGTCCCTGACAGTGTTGCCTCAAGGCACATCTGAATTATTTCTTTAAAACGCGATGCATGCTAGCAATACAGTTAGGAGGGACACTCCTTCCTTTTGCACCATCACAAGTAAAGATGTCTTTTTAAAAAGCTGTTAAATACCTATTTATATTTATTTGTTATATGAATGCTTATTTTATGAAACCCAGTGAGATCTAGGCATTATCAAGCCTCTGGTGAGTTCAACAGACTGTTGTATATCTGTTCAGTGGCAGAAACACAAGAAGAAATTAGAAGGTCAACTTATAATTTTTTTTTCAGTTTTACTTCTTAGTTTGCAAATATGTTAAGCTTATATGTTGTTTTGCAAAACAACTCCATGGCAAAATAAATCATATGGTTGTTTACTATATCCAGTTACTCTGTGAAATTGGTATGACCACATAACTCAGATTACTGTAAGAACTGTAATGAAACAAATTATATTACTTTTTCATTCATTTAGAAGGGGGAGAAAATAAAATAAATTATAGACTGGTTTAAAGTATTTGCAGAAATTATTGGTTATTATTTATCAATGACTTTTGAAGATTAGATCATCCACTGATAATTTACACACAGCTATGATTCGGTGCTCAAAATGATATATGATAGTCATGAGCAAACACTGTTCACAGTAGTAAAACCAAGGCAAAATGCTTTTTAGATAGCACTGCACAGCGATGTTTATTCTCGGATGCTTCTCATGGTTCAGAACAGGAAGACCTGCAGAGGCTAAAAGGATCAACGCTTTCTTGTTGAATATAAGTACTTCCAGAAACCCTGTGGTTTGAAGGAAGATGTCCGAGATAACATCAAAGTCATTGCTGAAATTATTGATGACAAAATAAGCAGTAGCTTCATATTTGACATAAGAATGCAGTAAGAATGCATGCTGCTATTTAGCCATTTCATTAGTTTGAAGAACAATTGAGCCCTCTCTGTGTACTGTTGATATTTGGCCACTGTGTTCTCTAGAAGGAAAAAAAAATCCCAGGCCTGTTACTGGGATTACTTGAAATTCAAATAGCCTTACAATGGTAAACAGAGAAACCATTTAAATTTTACATAAGCCTTTTACAATGTCTAGTTGCTATTCATTGATACATATTTTCTTACTTCTCTTGAAATTTTTTTCAGAATTGGAAAAAATTCTGACACTATCAAAACAGTCCATTTTGATACACTTTTGGAATAGTGTTGACTTTTGGTTTGGAAATGTTTGTTCTTCATTGTAAAATATTTAAAAGTATATAATTAAAGGCATAAATTTAATGTGAAATTTATGAAAGCAATATTAAAATTGACCTAAAATAACTTAAGGAAAAATTGGAAGGAACATTTTTTCCTGGTTTAGTTACAGGTTTGATTTCAAGATCTCAAAATCTCGAAGTCCTCCTGGAATTGTATATTTATTTTTCTGCACAATTTTAGTTTTCCATCATTTTGTAAATTTTATTCTATGCTAAGGCCTTAGAATAGAACTTATTACACTTCCGGAGAGTTGGAAAGCATAGGTGAGAATTCTGTTGCAGAAGTAAATTTCAGTTAACAAGAAACATTAATTGCATTTTAAAAGAAGCTCATGGTTTCAGGTTGCTTAACAACTACCAGAATGTGAAACTCTTGCACACCAGAAAATATTATCAGACATGGCACTTGACAGACTATCACGATAATCAAGATCACACACTTTAAAGTCTTTGAAGACTGCTGTATATGAAACATGGCATTCTTATTTCCTCCATTTTGCAGAAGGAAACGACGTTGCCCAAGATATCAGGGTACCACCAGTCCCTAAGATGCAGATGTTTCCTCCCAGTAAGTGTATTTCTGGTGCTCAGTACCTCATCCCCCTGCACATGTCAGACTGGTGTGGCATCACGGGGACCGGTGTGCCTGCCAGGCACCCAGCCTGACTGCTCGCGTTTCCTTTGGAGGGAAACTGCAGTGAGGAAGAGGAGGAGGGAGAACCCTTAAGTCTCCCTTCAACAGCCAGAGAGCATACTTCAGTTAAGTTTTGGGGAAACGATCTGAGGAGAAAAGGCTGAAAATCCCTCCTACAACATCTAGCTAAAGGTCAGTCAGGGTGTTTGTGCTACACCGGGTAATGAACCCAGGTAGACTGAGCACTGCTTTGTGTGAAGCATTGTCTGGAGAGCTGTTTGTAAAAATACTGTGCTCGTTTATGCAGACAGGTAATGAGAACATAACAAAGGAAAACAAAACACTCCACTCAACTGATTAGAAAAAAAATAACACGATACAACCAATGTTTATTGTCGCGGCCCAGGAGACTTGCTTTTTAATAGCAACGGGTTGCAAAGCAAGGACAACAGCAGCGGCATCCTGCACAGACAGGAGAGCAAAGCTGAAAAAGGACAGAAGGTTGGAGCTGTCATTGTCCTGCAACCATAGTTACGAATCAGGAAACCAAAGGACAATCACAAATAACTCAATACTGGCTTGTTTCATCTTTATTTAAAAGCTGATGATTGCATAGCTCCCTAAAAGTAAGTGGCTTTATAAGTACTGTGACGCTGTTAATTTACACACATGAAAGTTGTTAGTTCTGCAAAGAAAAAGGATTAATAGAAAACGTGAGAGAAATCAAAGAGAAAAAAGACCTGCCAGATTCTTACTCATTATATATCACTGCAAGTGACAGCCCATGTTTAAAAAATGGCCTTTTAAAACTTGCGATGTATTCAGGGTAATACAGCTTATCATGAAGAATAACTTACAGAACAACCATCTGTAGCTTCTACAAAGAAATGCACATAATTTAGATGCTCAGTGTTTGTGTTTCTTCAGCATCACATTGTACAGAAGTACACCTAGAATTCATCTATTCCAAAACATGATTACAGAATATAACTCTATTTTTTATGCTAAAAGAAATGGGCTTTTACATTATGTTGCACTCAGGACTTAACAGTGCATCACTTAGTATTGCTCGCTTATTGCTGAATCACTTGAGAGATTACTAACAAAGCATAAACTTATTGCTGAAACAGTGGTTAGTGTATTCAAGCCACTTGAGAGATTACTAACAAAGCATAATACATGTTAAGTTTGTCTCTTTGACACAGAACCAGATGTGAATGTTATGAAAATGGTTTTGAAAACTTAAACTGCCTACAAAGTAATCAATGCTATCAAAATGGAATTCTGTTTTGTTACATTTTCATTTCCCAGTTGAAATAAGAGTAAGCAGTTGCATGTGCGAGGTATTAGTGTATCTTCTCAGCTGTAATGCAAATTGCCGTGTTCCTAAAACACTCTACCAACATACCTCTCAGAAAAATGTCCGAGTCTTTAATAGTGCTACTAACAAAAATGATGAGAATCATCTC